GGTATAAAAGGCAAAAAACCTTGCACTTCAGGGCCACTTGTCTCAGAATGCCAGCCCCTGCGCAGGCGAGAATAAATCACCATTTAATTGCATCTGAGTGGGTCCAAGTTTATTTTTCCAGATTACTTAGGTTATTTCAGCATGAGCACCCAGCTGGCTGTCTATATGATTAGAAAGCATTGATGATTGCCTTTTCACCTCTAGTTCCTCTGGTCTAGTACATTTAATTGGCTGTAAGCCCTTTTGGCTCTTAAGTCCTCTTGCCTATAGGGGTCCCACTGACGGCCTGGATGGACCCGAGGAGGCAGCCCTGCCACTCCAGCAACAATGGGACAAAGTAAAGTTCAGCCATCGATGGCAGATCCTGGCCAAAAGAGAAGCATTGTAAACTAAAATAAAATCTTGACAAACCCCATCCAGCTGACTGAGTGGACACCCTGTTGGCCAAGGGGACACCAGAAATACACTAAAGCTGAGTTGCTGGCCGTGGGAGGGGAGGTCAGGCAGGCCTCCTCACGCCCCCTTTCTTCTCAGAGGACTCATCTGCAACTTACTCAGACCCAAGGCTGTTCAACAAACCTGCAGCTCCTCAATTTATATAATAATCATTCGAGTGCCTTGGGTGGCTCCTTGCTGATAACAGACTCCTTAATTTAAAACATTCCAACCCCTTAGACAAAGCTTCATTTGCTAAACCAATTACAAATCAAATAATCTTTAAAACCTACTTATAACCTGTAATCCCTGCTCCCAGATGTGCCCCGTTTGGGGGCCTAACCAATGTGCCTCTTCCTTGTGTTGATTTATGATTTTACATGTAATTCCTGTCTCCCTGAAATGCATAAAAGCAAACTAAAGCTCCACAACAGCAAATCCACTTGCTCAAGGCTTCCTGGGCAAGGCTCCAGGTCCTCAGACTCAGCTGAGAATCAACTTCTTTAAATTAAAAATAAATAAATAAAATCTAAAAAGATCTCTTAGTGATTGATTCTAATGTGCCTTACTATAATTTTTGCTGCTGCTTCCACGATAAATAACTGATTCTTCCCCCCACTTTTTCTTATTTCCCAGCTTTGGGGCCTCAGATTATTGCTCACAGTGATATTTGTAAATGTAAATAGAATTGAGGAATTTAAGAGTATATCAAAGAGGGTCCAGGGAAATGAGATCAAAAGAAAGCCCCAGGAATAGACTGCTTAGAAATTTTAGAGTTTACCTATAAAAAGAGAAAACAGAAAAATAAAAATGATCCTTCAAACAATACATCATCACATCAATACAATCACACAAATTTTAATTTTTTTTTTTTTTTT